AATATCTGTGGCCTGCAGATCCGAATCCAAATGTGAAAGGCGGAGTCCTAAGTCATCTTTCCCATTTTAATCCTTTGAAAGAAAAGCAAAAGCCTGTTACTTTGGATTTAGAGAATCCCCTTGTAAATTTTTAGAAGAAGATGATTGATGTAATTCCTTATTTCTAGCGACTTTTGGTTTTTCTGATCATAACAAACCCGTGGTTGCTTAAAATTTTGTGTTTGTTTCATATGCAGGTGAGGAGGATGGAAAATGAAACTGGATTGGACTTCAATGATCAGATTATATTATTGGAGAATAAATATCAACAGGTACAATTATTTTGTTTGAGACAATCTGAGAGTACTTTAGTTGTTTCCATGAAGTAATATAATTTCTAGTTATACATTTATATGTTCCTCTGAGTTGATACATATCCAGCCTGTTAATGAGAGTGAAGTTGAGTATGGAATATGTTTTCGTGTGCTCAATTTAATTATACCAAAACTGAAAATTAGGTCAGGAAGTTATATTTAATATTGGCTGATAAAATGTTTCTGATGTTGCATTTTCTATGTCATTTATTTGTTATTTAGAATTTTATTATAGTACTTGATTTTATTTTTGGATTCATTCTCTTATTGCAGAGGATTATCAATATTAGAACATTTATAATGCTTGCTTGAAATTCTGTGGTGTTAAACTCCAAAATCTATGATTCTTCTTTAAGTCTGGTGTAAGCTTGATACCTTAATAAGGGATGAGCTTAATTCAATGTTTTAGAAAAGGCTTGCACACCATTTAGTGTTGATGTGCTGTCAAACATATTGATGTTTCACCATGTTTATGGTTTTCGGTTAACTCTTATAATCCTTTCTGTTATTTATTTCAGACCCTAAAGGACTTATACACACATCTAACCCCTATACAACGTGTGAACATTACCCGACACCCTAACAGACCTACATTCCTTGATTATGTATTTAGCATTACTGATAAGGTTTGGTGGTTGCATGACCTTTAACTCGGATATTAAATTCTGTGTATTTTCGTCAACATTATCTTTAACACCCAGTGTGTGGAGGGTGAAGAATTGTTCTAATAAATGTTTTGTATATTCTCATGTATCTAGTTTGTGGAACTTCATGGAGATCGATCGGGTTATGATGATACAACTATTGTTACTAGTATATGAACCATAGATGGTAGTCGATACATGTTTATTGGTCAGCAAAAGGGTAGAAACACTTTTATCTATATATTCAGCGTAACTTTGGAATGCCAACTCCCCATGGGTAAGTATATGAAACTTGCATGTTGAATTTTACCTTTCAAAGAGAGAATCTGTCACTCTTAACTGATATTTAGGAAATGCTTACAGTTATATGAAGGCTCTGCGCATGATGTATTATGTAGATCATCATGGTTTTCCTATAGTTACTTTTATTGACACTCTTGGGGCGTATGCTGACCTTAAATCTGAGGAGTTGGGTCAAGTATAAGGACTATTATATTATAAAGCATACCATATCTACTTTTAATGTTAGCACAACTGATTTTTATGCATTACATTCATGTAGGGTGAAGCTATTGCCCACAATTTGAGGACCGTGTTTGTTCTGAAGGTCCCAATTGTTTTTATTGTTATCGGGGAAGGTGGCTCTAGCGGTGACTTGGCCATTGGCTATGCTAATAAATTATTGATGTTGGAAAATGCAGTCTTTTATGTTGAAAGGTATTGAGATGACGTATATTGTTTTTATTGAATGTCGTTTAAGTCTGTACAACCTGCCATTTTGATCCCACACAATATATGATATTGTAATTGGTTAAAACCTTATTTTTCCTCGTTGTACCTGGTAAGATTGTATATTACTCCTTCTAAATGTTGATCTTTTTTAGATGACATTTCTAATTGTGTTGATATTTCATTTCTTTCCTATTTCTTTAAATGGTATAGTCCAGAATCATGTGCTGCAATTTTGTGGAAGACTGCCAAAGTTTCTCTAAAGGTTCGAAATAAATTATTGGTTTTAGGCTTATTTTTTAGTAATTTTCATTTTCTTATTAGTATTTAAGGTTTCCAGTTGTAGCTCCTGTCAAAATGACATTTGAAATGTAAGTGTTATTCTTTATCTAAAATAGTTGTTATTATTCTTAATTACTGCTTAGCTACAATATCGATGTTCTCTTTCCTAAACAAATGTTCTCGATGTTGTAGATATACAACATGTGTAATACCTATAAGTGTCTTCTTTGCATCAAGTCTTTGGTAAGTATTTAACTGTGGTATGACTGGAATTTGTGTTTGGTGTGTGGTGTAGTGTTTTCTTTATTATGGTGTGGTTTGTGTTGTGTAATAAGTTACTTATGTGGTTTGTGTTGCATCAAGTTGCCTTCTCTGCATAATGAAGTTTCTTAATTAAACCAGGATCCTAATTTGTTGAATTACTGCCATTTGTCTTGCTCTTTTTTTTATATCTTAATGCCTTGCCCTGAAATGCTGGTTCTGACAGCACTAATTTATTTTTCTTATACTTTTAATGAAAATTAAATTTTAAATGCATTTAAGTTGTTCAGTTGCCAAAAGGTTTATGCTATAGGCTGCAAATTGCTTATACGATATAGAGCTTATTATGTATTGGCTGTGCAAAATTTTGACATCTTTGTTTTATTTTGCTTACCTTTTGTTGATATTGTTTTTACATATTCTAAGCATCCTCATTTTTTTTGTCAATACAGGTTTGGCAACACTGCATATTTGCACATATCTGTGGCTTTTATCCATATGCTCAAAGCTCTAAGTATGTGGAAACAAAGTGCATTATTTGATTACATCCAACGAAATCACTCTATAATTGTAATGACTGGCTATTTATGTTTGCAATATTACAGTGCCAGTGGCAACATTTTTCATGGGTGTCATGTTTATATATTGTATGCAAATGGATTGCTTATATATAATATGATATATGATATATATATTTAGTATTATGAGGCATTAAATGTGATTTAGTTTGATTATTTGTCAATCTACAATATATATATATATATATATATATATATATATATATATATATATGTATGTATATATATATATATATAATTTACGAAATACAATCACGACACGCGAATGTGTGTCATCTTCATGTATGACGGGGGCTTCAATGACACGCAATGTAAGTCATACATGTGTGTCATTAATTTATGACACACAAATGTGTGTCATCTTTATTTATGACGGGGGCTTCAATGACATTCAATGCGCGTCATAAATGTGTGTCATAAATGCGTGTCATAAATACTTGTCATAGATTTATGACACACAATTGCGTGTCATCTAAGATTCATGTCAGTGGCTTCAACGACAGGCATTTGTGTGTCATCCGCACCCATAGATGACGCGCAATGCGCGTCATTAAAGGGGGATTTTCTAGTAGTGTATAAGTCCTACCGAGGTCCCAAACTATTATTAAAGTGTTATGTTTGATTATAGGGGTCATAATAGGTCCATAAACATATTGGAAAGCACCAATTATTGAAATCTACCATGAACATGCTTCATGAATCATGCAAGCTAACAAAACTCACCTAGTTTCGTACATGTGGTAGAGTTTAGTTAGAAGTGAGTTACCTTGAGTCCTAAGTTGTTGGAAGTTCTTTCAACTCAACCAAGGGTGAGTTTTTCCTTTCCTTTGCACTTGGAGCTTTTTTAAACTTCTCTCACTAAGCAAAAAATCAAAACAAGGGTTACTAATGTTGTTAGGAAGCTTAACAAAGAGTTTGGAACATCACTTGAGCTTAAATCCTTCCAAAAACGGGTTGAAACACCATATGTTTCAAAACCCCAGTAAAACCTATGAATGACCACTATCACCAGAACTTGTGTTTGAGGGCTAGAATCAAAGCTCTAAGAGAGGTGATTTCATTTTTTTACCTTATTTAAACTGGACAAGAATTGTAGACCAACAGAGTTTCCACCTTTACTCAAGCTTCTAAGAGAATGAGATGAAGTTTGAATGAAGCAGAAAATGACAAATGAGAGTTGAGGAAAAAAAGAATGGCAACATGATATCATCATTCATTAAATGATTTCAGCTTTTGAAAATAAAAAGAGGCTAATTACTCCCTTGGTCACTCTAGCTTTGCCCAACATTTAGAAATGCCCCATTTTACCTTAGTTGGGCCAAAACCAAGCTTAACCCAATTCCTAATTTGGCCACTCTTTCATATAAGGCTTTTGGGTAAATTAAACACTTTCGATTTAACCTAAAACTACTAACACGGGATTCGGGACATTACAAATTATATCATAAGTCCTCAAACTATTATTCTTATTTTAGATTAGTCCTTAAACTTTTAAACATTCCAATTTTATCCTCGAACTATAACTCTCATTCTAAATTACTCCTTAAACTTTTGAATATTCTAATTTTATCCATAGACTATGAATCTCATTCTAAATTGGTCCCTAAACTTTTGAATCTTATAATTTCATCCCCAAATTCATCCAAATATTTAATTAGTTTCAACCATAGTTTAACCTAAATTTTATTTTTTTCAAACATATAATAATATAACTTTGCCTAATGATTTTATTAACAAGGGATGTGATTAGTATATACTATAATGTGGGATGATATTAAAATATTCAAAAAATTTAGGTATCAATTTAGAATTAAGATCATAGTTTGGGGATGAAAATGAAATGCTCAAAAGTTTGAGGATAATTTAAAAGTTTAGGGACAATTTAAAATAAGTCATAATTTAAAATGATAACCATAGTTTAGGGATGAAATTAGAATATTCAAAAGTTTAAGGATAATTTAAAATGATAGTAATAGTTTAGGAATGCAATTAACTCATGAGACCCAACTGAATCTTATCCCAAAATGAAAAATATCGACATGTGAGGTCCTTATGGAACAGGACTCTCTTGACAACCGTGAGAGAGGTCAGTCTGTACTAACTTGACAAATATAAATACAACCCAACCCACAAATGAAACCAAAGTCGCTATTTTTTCTGGTTTTTTCCCCACACTTACTCTAGTTAGACTTTTTTGAGGGGGCGAGGGGGAAAGTGATTCATGGGGATCGTTGAAGAAGCTCACAACCTCAAGGTTTTGGGTTCAGGCGACCGACTCATAGTTTTGGCTCATGGGTTCGGGACGGACCAGTCGGTGTGGAAGCACTTAGTTCCTCACCTGGTCGACGATTTCCGTGTGGTTTTATACGATAACATGGGCGCTGGAACTACTAACCCCGATTACTTTGATTTCAATCGTTACGCCACTCTCGAAGGATACGCTTTTGATTTGCTCGCTATTCTCGAAGAACTCCGATTTGATTCTTGTATTTTCGTTGGCCATTCGGTTTCCGCCATGGTTGGTGTTATAGCTTCCATTTCCCGACCCGATCTCTTCTCCAAAATCATCATGATCTCAGCTTCCCCAAGGTAGTAATTCAATTAACAATAAAAAAATGGTTGCTTTCAGTGAGATCAGGTATTCCTGGAGTTATTTTCTTAACCTGTTTTTTATATTCAAGTTAAACCCGTTGTTTATCGTTGTTGTAGGTATCTGAATGACGTGGATTACTATGGAGGATTTGAGCAAGAAGACTTGGACCAACTCTTCGAAGCAATGGGATCCAACTACAAAGCCTGGTGTTCTGGTTTTGCGCCACTAGCGGTAGGTGGCGACATGGAATCTGTGGCGGTTCAGGAATTCAGCCGCACCCTCTTCAACATGAGACCCGACATAGCCCTCAGCGTGGCTCAGACCATATTCCAAAGCGACATGAGACAAATCCTCAGCCTTGTCACCGTGCCCTGCCACATCATCCAAAGTGTTAAAGACTTGGCTGTCCCCGTCGTCGTCTCTGAATACTTGCACCAAAACCTAGGCAGCGAATCCATAGTCGAAGTCATGACATCCGATGGTCACCTCCCGCAGCTTAGCTCGCCTGATATCGTCATCCCAGTGCTGCTTAAGCACATTCGTTATGATATCAGTACTGCGTGAAATTAAGTACTGCGATTGATTATTAAATATATTAAGCATGTTTTTAATTTTAATAATTTGAAATGTTAATCTTAAGTTATTATGAAGTTGATTTCGATTAGCAATGCTCATTCCCTGGCGACTCCGATCGTTTCTTTTTCTTTTTCGTTTTCATTTAGTTAGATTCAGAATTATCAGATCATTTATTTGGAAAATGACGTGTATGTTGGTAGTTGTGTTGATGTGTTCAAATGTGCTCCATGGAATAAAAAGTGATTTGATCTAACGTGTCAAAACTCAGAATGGACGGTCGGATTCAAGAGTATTTGAATGACTTGACAATAAATTGGAACGTCGGCTTGAAACCTTTTTTTAACGAGCTAAAGAAAAAAAATGTATGAATGAAAGTTATATCATATGATATTTAGATATTACAAAATAAAAGACTGATCGTTCTTAATTTCTAAAATTAAAAAAAGTTCACAGTCTTTGAGTATAAAAAAAGCCTTTTGTATTATTTGTCTAAGAATTCTTATGGTTGGACGGTGAGCTGTTTCCGGTTGAACATTCAAAATTGTCACTACCAATTAGCCATTAGGATAGTAATGTATTGGAAGATATTTGATGGGTTATTTTAATAAAAGCTTATTTATTTTTATTTTAATTTAATCTAATTTAAAACTTTATAAATAATTCAGTAATAGTTGTCACTGTATTACTCTTCTAATCATAGATCGATAAATGGACTAATTGAATTAGAAGTAGATGATTAGCATTAAACTTGATGTTTAAATATTAAAAAGTATGTCGAACTAATCAAACGATTTTAGTGGTTGAAAGAAATATTTTCTTGAAGGTTCTAAGTTCAAACAACTATATCTGCAGAGTGTACATACTATCTTGCATGTATGTTCATCTTGTTGTTTATATTTGAAGTCTATAACTGTTTTTTTTAATAATATTATTTTTAAAATTTGAAGAACTATATGATTTATATGATCTATGTATCAAAAAAAATTTATATATATACCTTCAATATTTTTTTAAATAGTCTAAAATAGTTACAAGATAATATTTATTTAAAATCTTTCTTAATAATTAGAACAAACCCTACATACATAATTGTTTGAATCTTTAATCTCAAAAATAAAAATATTTTTATTAATCACTGATTACTGGATAAATCCATATATACCTTCAATATTTATATTTATAAAGAGGAAGAGTGGACAACATTAAGATATTCGTACTGTGCTTTTTACATCATAATGATATTTATATTATTCCTATTTTAAAATATTATATACGTGTTAAATTTTTCTATTTTGAGTTTCTAAGACATTTTGTGTGTGTACGAAATGATTGGAATATACAAAGAAAGATGAGGAATAATAATAGTTAAATTCGTAATTTAAAGAAAAAACTGTGCATTTAATATATTTTAACTTAATGAAATAAAATTATTAGTGCTATCAATTTTAAAATAAAATTAATTAAATAATTTATAAGCAATACATATATAAGTTAATATGATATATCCTAAAATATAATCTATTTATTTTATAAAATAATAGCATATAAGAATATAATATTTTGAAAAAATATATAAACAAATAAATATTATTATTAGTTGTGAAAATTAAGCACCAGAAATATAATATATAATAACATATAATAATAAGTTGACATTTAATTTTACAAAAACTCAAACACGATATATTTATATTGTTCGTGAGAACTTATCGGGATAAGAGAATTAATATAAGAATCTATAGTACAGAAAAGTTAACAAGATAAGTATTTAAGTATCTTGGAGGTCATGAGTTCGAGCACTAGAGATTACAAGCTTGATCGAATGTTTATTGTTAAATAATTAAAAGTACTTACAACATATACTGCTTTATGGTCACCATAGCTTAATAAAAAAATAAGATAAATATATACAAACCAATTAAAAAAGTAATAATAATTTTTATTTAAAAAAATAAAAAGAAGACATAAATTTATACAAAATAAAGAAAAACATTTATTGTTTTTATTAAAAATGAAAAATTTAAAATAAAATAAAATTTTTAGATCAATTAAAATAAATTTATAAAATAAATTAGAAAATGATGAGAAAGAAAGAAGAAAATAAGAAAAATAGAAAAGATCAAGGATCAATAACCTATTTAAATTCCTAGAAAAAACTGTTAATCTGTGAATGCCCATCTCCGGTTTGCATATGTCAATATCGTGAAGGGGAATAAAGCAAAAAGGTAAAATAAACGGTGTCCTTTCTTTATTATACTTACCTTGTAAGCTACACAATTAATTTCAGAAAGAAATAATTAAATTCCTTTAATGTTCATTGGCATTTCCAACTGATGATTTGTAACCATTATAGGACTATTTAGATTCTAATTTCAACATCGAATGAAATAAAAATAAATAAACCTTTAAAAGCTCTAGTGAGTTTTGAAGCCTGGTAAACCAATACTAAATTACTCATCATCCGAACATTATAATAAAAGATTTTTATAACCTCATGTCTTCTTACAATTGTACATATTGAAGACTTTATCATCTGAAAAGAGACCTAAAATAAAAAAAACATAACGAGGATTTACCCTCCAAAGAGAAACCTCAAGACCTTTGAAAAAATTCTAAAAATAGGAATTTCGTTTTATATTATCTCAAAACTTAAGTATATAAATAAATTTTGAGTAATATATAATCATAATAATTTAAATATTAAACATGTATGTATAACGTAAAACAAGAAAATAGAACATGCTCAAAATAAAAAATCATACAACATAAATACTACATATATATGGCGTCGCATACACAAGGTGATGCCATAAATGTTTACCCCTATGTGTATTGATATCCTTGTGTGTGTTTATGACTAAGTCTGCTAGTCTGCATATATGATGAAGGTAAGTAGTATATTAGAGTTATTTGTGTAGTACTAGGCTTATGAACTCAGTGTTCGAAATATGTTTCCGTGCGTAGGTTCTTAGGTAGATTCTCAAGTAGCTTATTACTGAGTTCATATTCCATATCATTTGAAGTACTAGAGTACATCTTGGGTATATTTTAGTATGCATGTTTTAGACACCCATTTTCGTCTGAAGTTTTTTTAATATACATAATAATATAGTATAATTTTTGAAAGAATTTTTTTTTTGAAACATATAGTTTTTTAAAAAAATCGGTTTTTGAAAATATATAATATATAGTTTTGAAAATATTTTGAAGATATATATAATATATAGTTTTTGAAAACATTTTGAAAAATATATATAATATATAGTTTTTGAAAACATTTTGAAAATATATATAATATATAGTTTTTTAAAACATTTTTGAAAATATATATAATATATAGTTTTTTAAAACATTTTTGAAAATATATATATATATATATAATATATAGTTTTGAAAATATTTTACAAAAATATATAATATATAGTTTTAAAACGTTTTTAAAAATATATATAATATATAGTTTTAAAAAATGTTTTTTAATATATAATATTTAGGTTTGGAACGTTTCTTATAAATATATATAATATTAGTATACTTATTTTATTTTTTTATTCATTTTTATCTTATTTTTATTTCTTTATTTTTTCTATTTCTATTTTTTATTTTCTATTTATATTTTTAGGGTCCAAGAGTCTGTTCGGGTCCAACATATGATAAACGGGCTTGACCCAACCCAAAAGGAAACTAGGGTTTCTAATGATAGACACCAGTGCCGCACAGCCAGGGCCGTTGGATCTGGCCTTTTGATCCAAAGACCAAAAATGCCCCAAGGGATCCAAAAGTCACCGGTCAAGCGAGACTTTCGGTCATACAAAGACGAAGCAGCCAACGCCAAACCGAAAAAATCGGCCATGCAAATAATCTCGACTAAATCGAGACTGACTCATCCCGTTTAGCCGGTCAAGCAACAACCCACAACCTCGAAATCACCGAAAACCAACTTCAACAAGGGGGTTATAAATACCCCCGATGCTTCACCAGGGAGAAACACACACCAACAAGGAAAATACATGGTGAACAAGCAAAAGGCAACCAAACCACCAAGCAAAATACAAAGCAAGAAACAATAACCAAAAAATACGAATAAAGAGCATAGTGAAGTCAAGCAAAAAACAAAAACAGTGTTGGAATAGCCTTCGGTGAGCGTCGGAAGAGGAAGGGTCACCGGAAAACGAGAAAGCTTCGCAAAAAAGGTAAAACCCGAGAGTTTTATTCTTAGATCTACGGCGTTGTGGTTGTTTTTAGGCTATTTGGAGGTCGGTCTCGGCTTCGGGGTGTTAAAGGGAACATTTTGGTATTTTTGAATTTTTCGGCCACTGGAGGCGGTGACCGGAGGGGTGGTTGGTCACCGGAGCGATGGTCGGATTTCGACCGGTTAGGGGAGAATTAAGAGAATTTGGAGAGATGAGGGAGAATGGATTTTGAGGAAATGAGAGAATGAGAGGAGATGGGGGTTTGGCACATTTCTATACCGAGGACCACATTATAATTAGCAGATTGTTAAATCCTTTCCGTTGTCCCTCAAGTTTTGATGTGTAAGTCATTTTGATCACCTATTTCAATTTTGCTTTTGAATTTTCAATTAATTCAATCTAATCCTTCATTATATTTATTATATTTCACGATTTAACCCTCTAACCTTTTATTTTTCTCTTGAAACTCATTTTTAGTATCAATTTGATCCATAAATTTCAATTTGTTTCAATTGGATCCTTTAAATTTTTTAGTTATTCATTTTTCCTTTTAATTTTAGCATATTTTTTCCTTTTTTTAAATTATTATTTTTTAAACATTGTTTTATATTTTTACTTATTATTTTTTATTACTTTTAAAATTTAACATTTTTTTGTTATTTTCTCAATTTAATCTTTTTTTTATTTTCTCTTTGATTTATTTAATGTTTATTATTATTATTATTATTATTATTATTATTTCTCTCTCCTAACATTTTTTTATTTTTTTAGGGGATTTTTTAATTGATCAAAGGTAAGTAATTCAAATCGAGTATTTAAATTTTAATTTTAATTTTTGCAATTAAGACAACCGACAAATTAAAATTGTTCGAAAGGGCAGTTCAAGGGTGCTAATCATTCCTTGACTATAACCGAATCTCAAATCCGACACATTTCTGGTAAAACACATATCAAGTAAGATGGTGTCCAATCAACCTAAATATTTTTTAAAATGATATGTGA